CTCCGAGCCGACCAGTCCTTGCTGTACCCATTAATGCCGAGCGCCAGGCAGGGACCAACAAGTACCATATTTTAACGTCTTTTGGTATGACGCGGTCGGGGATTGAACCCGCGACCTTCCGCTCTCCGGGCGGACGCTCTAACCACTACACCACGGAGGCGGTTTTAGCGCAAAGAGCACATGTATAAATGAATGAATGTATTATAATTATTATTATTCCGTACAGTGCTGGAACTGATTGGACGTAAGCCAGGAATGGTCCGAGCAGTCAACCTGGCAGTCTGGAATCGATTTTTTAGATGGGTCAACCGAATCTGGTTGTCTTCTTGCTGACGTGACTTCACGCGTGGACGGGGCATATCTCTCGTGTTCCCATTTTGTTGAAAGCGTCTCCATAGAGATGAGATCTTGTTTCAGTTGATAACCAAGTGTCTGACGACTTCATTTTGGGCCATTCCAGTCTCCAGCATACCCACGGCGCGGAGACGCTGATTTTCTGCAAGCCGTGGCATGACGTACGCCCAGTTTAGGTTGAAATATAAAGTGTTTTCCACAACATTCAGAGGCTGAAGAATAATCAACCGTTCTTCAATTTTCAATATCAGGTGTGTGGACTTCAGGTGTCAAAAGTGTGCGTGAGTTCATTGTACACAATAATCATTACTTGTCAAAATGAGTATTGTACAAGCAATGGTATTTTTTGAGGAAATGTTTGACGTGCATTAAAATATCTCCGCTTTGTGCGTAGTGAGTGATTGAGGGTTACGGGAATAATACTGACATTGTTATGCCATAGCGACAGATGTTTTAAAATCTTTATCTTGATATTGACTTCTCGCCACAGAGACATCCACTAACACATGTTACCTCCAACCTTTTACAGTTTCTTAACATCTAGTTAATATTCCCACACTTTATTGATTCTGGTTTAACAAGGAGGAAATCGCTTTCAGGGCTGGTAGCTTTAGCAATATAGATTTCCTATGTGTCATATTTCCATTTTAATGAGGAATGTTTGCCAATGTCAAACAAAACGATTTCATGACATCTATTGCAGTCTGGCGACGCTGTTTTAAAAAAAAAAGTAATATACATTACTAAAATTATTAAAATTAAGGGCAATGAACCCTACATACGGTTGCATACAATGCAAACATGTTTTTGAATTCGTTCAGAGTTCGGGAATACGTATTTCAATTTCTTAATTTCAGTCATGTCATTTTAAGAATGGTTGTCAGGGCAACTCAACTTACCGGTACATTATATTTCTTTATATTTTCATATGAAATTGATTAAACGTTTAACATCAATTCGAGAAATTTCTTTTCAATTTGTTTCAGGTTATATCTTTTCACGTTTTCTGACTTTCTGACCGCTTTCACGGTGATTCTACTTTCTCAAGTCGTGTTTTGCAATTGATTCAATAACTTCCAAAGGACATGTTTTGTCAATTCGAGTGTAAGTTTATTACTAGTATTCCCAAATTATTCAAATTCCTTGTGTGGCATTTTTTCTCTGTAAACAGTCGAGTTTCTTTAGCTTTTCAAGTTTTGAAATGACCTTACTTGTGTTGTGTCTTAAAATTCCGACACCTGTGCAGATACTTGTAGATCGATCATCTGCCACAGAAAACTGTCGAGTTTTATGCACATACTCTGTGGTTGCCGCCAAGTTGTGGCAAAATCAACTACCAAGATCCTCAACAAATTTCAGATGGGGTATCTTTGATTTAAATATCCACCTGTTAAGAAATACAGTGAGTGAGTGTGGTCTTACGCCGCTTTTTGCAATATTCCAGCAATATCACGGCGGGAGACCCCAGCAGTGGGCTTTACACATTGTACCCATGTGGGGAATTGAACCCAGGTCACCAGCGTGACGAGCTAACGCTTTAACCACTAGGCTACCCCACCGACCCATTAAGAAAAACAAACCTTGGTGGTATTAGTATGGTTATACGCGAGAATTGTTTAAACTTTTAGGAAGACAGATTTCGAAATTCTTTCAATGTCCTTTGCCGGTGCGTAGCAAGCCAATTATTTCGTGTAAGCCCAATAGGTTGCCAGGCTTCATATGTAGATAGCATTGATGGCTTGCCAAACCTTTTTAGCAATTATCATCGGGCTCTTTTCCCAATGGTAGCTACGCCCCTGCTTTGTAGACAGAAAAAGAAGAAGTATATTCCCAATTTCTGTACTAGTTACCCAAGCAAACAAGCTGTATATCTTTTAATAACCCAAAATACAGTCTTACGACTTCAAAAGATACACATAAATTGATTCCTATTGTATAGACTAGCATATCTCAGCTGATCTTACCAGGCTCTTTGTACACAATATCCGTAAAATTGTTTCTGTACTGTTGACACTGCCTCGGGGCCAAAACGTACAAATATAATGTCTTTCATAATCTTTAGATATAACCAAGGTTTAGAAAGTACGTTTCACACGTCTGTTGATAACACAAATGGTTTGGTTTCATTCACATTGTACATGCTTCTCCATAGAAATCATCACCACCACCCCAGCCATAACTTATGAGCGGTCCCTAAAGTGGCTGATAAATGGCAACAGAGTTATGAATAAACACTGGCAGGAGTTGTCCCGTTGAATTCAAATTTGGGTCATGCGCCAAAACTCGCCGGCTTCCCATAACCTGTCACAAAATTAATTTGGGTGTGGACTGGTGCGAAAGGCCATCCCGAAAGGGTGTGCCAGGCTTCCGCTTGATTGGTCCAGGCGGGAAGATGTTTATGAGGAGCTAGATCAATGAATGATGGAAGACGCGTGGAGGAGGCTGTGCAAAGTTGAAAGGGGGGTGAAGACGAAATGGGCTGTGCTTATCTCGATCGTGATTCATCTTCCGTCAGTCTACACATCTGAAATACTAACTGCACAAATAGCTTGCCGATAAATCAGAAACGTTTAGGTGAGGTGAAAGGTGACTTCCGGGTATAAGTGTGTGTATATATATGTGCTTGCACTAAAAGAGGTGAGGTGAAATGGGGTTTAACGGTTTAATATTTCGCTCATATGACCATGTGTATACGTGTGTATGTGTGGCTGCTTGTACTAGCCCAGACTAAAGCTGGTTTTATAGTGCTAGCTCACTGAGATACCATGCCGCAGTTAAGCATGAATACCTCACTCAGATACTGAATCAGACCCAGACAGTCCACGTTTTACCCATTAATGCCGAGCGCCAGGCAGGGAACAACAAGTACCATAATTTAACGTCTTTTGGTAATGACGAGGCCGGTGATCGAACCTACGACCTTCTGCTCTCCGACCTAACCACTACACCACGGAGTCGGTTGCTTGTACCAGTCAGAACTATTTGTTTTCTAGCCCACGGATATACCAGGATGCGGTTTAATAAGTGTGATGCCCCACACAGACACAGTGCAGGCTCCCAAGAACCTGTCATTATTTCATACAAATGAAGTTAAGCAAAAGCGAAGGTAACAGTAATACCATCTGTAAACGTCCTTTGAGGCCGAAGATCGAACCAATGGACATTGCCTCTCATGGCAGACCCTCTATCCACCAGACCAAAAAGAGTGAGTGAGTGAGTATGGTTTACTCCGCAATATTCCAGCAATATCATGGCGGGAGACACCAGAAATTGGGCTTCACACATTGTACCTATATATGTGGGGAATCGAACCCGGGTCTTCGGCGTGACAAGCGAACGCTTTAACCACTAGGCTACCCCACCGCCCCAGACCAAGAAGATGGTCATGGTGGGAAGAAAGACACTAGTTAAAAAAAACCCAGAAAATCCATTCTTGGACACTTACACTTTATTACACAATTTATTGCACAATTTAGTGTACTAGTATCAGTTACTAATAAGGAGCAAGCATATGTCAGCATGGTCCTAGGGTGCTCATTTGCTCGTCGTCTAATGTGCCCGATTTTTCTGCGGAGTTGTGTCCCTTGAACTTGCAAGAAACCGACAATAGTGGGTTCTAAAACCATAATTTGCCCTAATTTGGTTTCTAATCCAACTCACTCATGATCAATGTCCGTTTTAACATAGCTAAAGACTGGTTCAGACAATCCTGCCACCATCACAGCAAGTATATGTGGACACTGCCAGAATTAAGGCTGCCAGCTGATTCTATCCAGTGAGTGAGTGAGTGAGTTAGTTTAGTTTTACCCTGCACTCAGCAATATTCCAGCTATATGCAGCGGTATACCTATAATCGAGTCTGGACCAGAAAATCCAGTGATCAACAGCATGAGCCTCAATCTGTGCAATTGGGAACTGATGACATGTGTCAACCCAGTCAGCGAGCCTGACCAACCGATCCCGTTAGTAGCCTCTTACGACAAGCATGGGTTGCTGAGGATCAATATTCTAACCCGGACCTTCACAGGTTGATTCTATCCATGGATTATAGCTTAAAGAAACTACCAGTGAGAGAGTTTAAGTGTAGTGTTACCCGTTTTAGCAATATTCCAGCAGCATCATGGCAGGGGACATCAGAAATGGGCTTCACACATTGTACCCATGTGGGGAATTGAACCCAGGTCTTCAGCGTGAGGAGTGAATGCTTTAACCACTAGGCTACCCCTCTGCCCCTAAAAAGCTAGCAGTCCTTACAAGATAGCTTTACAGTTACAGACCTGTGGTGATATGGATGTACAGCTAGTCTACAAAGACTGATGGATCACATTCCCAGCAAATTATGAGAGGATAGTGATTTATATGATAGAGAAAAAAAACACCATTGTGAACGATCAAAGCCATAGAAAAGATCCTATTCTTAATCAGTGAAAAAACTGAAAAGCATGCCCATTTGGAAAAGCAACTTACATATTGTATTCATTCACTTATTTTGTAAATTATGGGCGGTTAAAGCATTCACTGACCCCCGAAGACCCAGGTTCTATTCCCCACATGGGTACAATGTGTGAAGCCTATTTCTGGTGTCCCCCGCTGTGATATTGCTGGAATATTGCTAAAAGCAGCGTAAAACTAAACTCACTCGGTCAAACCGTCAAATTTTTATTGGCGACCGCAACAAACCAAATGTGTGCACACTCAGTTTCTTGTGGTCTTTATAATTAACTGTTTGATTCAATTGCATGCATAGCTAGTTTTGATCAATACAATGCAAACCCTGTATGAGGACTTCCTCTTGTTTGGAATTTGTGTGGCTGTTTCTATTATCAATGTTTAGATGTTCAGTTTGGTTTTCACTTTCAGTTTCATAAAATTTCCTTTCCTGTCCAGAATCATCGAACGTGAGCAGGATTTGAATCCTAATGAGCCGGAAATAATTGGGCATGAACCGTGAATAAATGATAACTTGTGGCCCTGAGCGTCACCAAACAATCAGGACAATTATCACCAACATCTTCCAGAAGCCACAAATACTGTTACCGGGTATGCCTAGGGTGATAATAAAGGATATTTGTTGACTAGTTCGACCAGGGAGAAACATTAGTTCCAGTCCAAATCAAGGGTTGCATTTTGTTCTAAATCAACAGAAACAACTTGACCACTTCAGCGTGTTTTTTGAAGCAACATCATATCAACTTCTGACCAAATACTAACACCATACAGAATATTTACATCACCAGTATGATGAACACGGTCACACAGGCTGTGTGAGGAATAAATTAGGAAAAAACTTCAGTCCCTCTACAGTTTCGTCTCGACATATTCCTCCAACCTTTTCAGTAAGTAATAATCTGAAAAAATAAGGTATGAGTGAAAACACATGTTCAGTTCAATTGTTGAAAGTCTTAGAATATTGTTTAATGCAGCAAACCGCAATATTTCAGAGTAATTCAATGATTGAAAGTTGTAAAATATTTTGTTAGTTTTTCACTGCTCTGCACAGTTTAAAAAAAGGTGGGCAGAAGGAAAGTGAAAAAAAACCCAGCAGTACAGGAGCTCACTTTTATTTTGTGACATAATACTGGACTTCATAAATTGTAAAGCTATCTTCTAGTTGGTTATAAACCTGTGAAGATCCGGGTTAGAATTGGCCTTCAGTAACCCATGCTTGTCGTAAGAGGCTACTAACGTCATCATATCCCAATTGCGTAGATCGCAATGCTCATGCTGTTATCACTGGATTGTCTGGACCAGACTCAATTATTTACAGACTGCCATCATATAGCTGGAATATTGCTGAGTGCGGCGTTAAACAACAACCCAACCAATCTACTGGCAAACAAGGATAAGTTGGACCGGCACAGAGAATGTGTTTATGAGAAGTAGGCGGTGCACAGCAATGAGCAAACCCATTTGGTTTGTGAAAGGTAGAGCAGATGTAGGCTAGTGCACATGCATTGCATGACGATGAAACTGATTACACGCATAGCTGCCACTGTCGTCCTCGGTGTTTGCTGAGACAGGCCACTTTCTTCACCCATCGCACTACACTTGATCACGGACAACCTGGGGCCCCTTCGCTAACAATGGCAAGCACCAGTGGGCGGCACTCATACATGCTAATACGGGTCAAATGTCAGGCTGGTGCTCAACTTATCCTTGTTTGCCAGTAGTCTGTTATAAAGTTTGAACATTTCAAATCTCCCTACACTCCTGCAATCAAACTCTAGCATCATAATTGAACTACCTGAAGTTACCTACCTTCTTTGGTTATCATTACAATAATATGAACTCAAATATATTCAAGCTTCAAGCTATTCAAGCTTACCCTTCTTTGGTCCTTAAATGCAACACAGATTTTTTTCAAAGTAAACAGGGATACTTTTCAGGCTAAGGGAATATATATTCAATATGGTTCAAGCAGGCTAATGGATGGATATAAACAGCTTCATTTGACTTTTGGTCAGATGGGCTGGATGCAGATGAAGGTGGGATCATCTTTCCAAAACAAACTATCAGCATCAGGTGCACACCATTTAAACTTCCCACTCATGCACAATCGTCAGCAATCATTGTGTTACAATACAGTATATGTCCAGTGCTGCTTGTTAATGTAATACAGGTAACCCTGAAAGAGCACCTGCCTCGTGAACTGGTGATATATTCTACTTGCTGAAGGCCTGCCATCATGGTGATAGAAAAGGGCAGTTAAATTATTAATCATAGGTAAAATAGTTATTGTTGTTTTTAAACACGTAATTTGAGTAGGTAAATTTATTTTTCTTTCAAATTATCACGAAGTTACAGACACAATATTTATTTTTATAAGACATTTACCTGAGTACATTCATTAATATATCTTTTAAAGGTTAGCGAATGGGCCCCAGGTTGTCCGTGATCAAGTGTAGTGCGATGGGTGAAGCAAGTGGCCTGTCTCAACAAACCTCCACAAGATTCATTTACATAACTAATCCTTAATTAGCTAGGGTTAATCAATTCTATCAGATAGGCTACTCCACTGTCTTACAACTGGCAGTTCTCACAATTGGGAGTTCTCACGAATGGGAGTAGACCTGTCCACCTCAGTATTAGTGTATTAAATGACAAACACACAGTGCTTGGCATTGCCTACTCCCTGACAGCAGGCCAAAGGTTTGTTGCCGACAATTCAGATCCTGAAGTCTTATTGGAACCAACATATTGAGGGATACATTTTTGAAAATTGAGTCCACATCTCTTATTGATTCTCCAGTTTCTAAATCAATATGCAAAGATACAGTACACATCACCAAGATACAAAACATCCTTATGTCAAAACAAAAAACTAACTGGGTATTCTTGAGTCTCACCTTTCTTTAGCTAGTATCACGGAGACGCCCACCACTTTAGCCAGATCCTCAGCTGTCAGGGAGCCCTTTTCTTCAACCTGTACATCATAAACATACTATTACAGAACTGATGTAATGGAGGTAGAAGTGTTATAAGAATTATGACAGTCACATGCTGTAGTCAAGACAATTGTGAAGGAAAACCCAGTTCTATTGATAGTCAACTTCTTTATTGCAATGAGTGCGACGTTTTGGCGTAGATACTAACACTGTTATTATGGTAGTGATCATCTTGTGCATGTACATTATTTGGTCAAATTGTGTTTGTATACTATTTGAATACTAGGGGTGGGTATTGCAGAGAATTTTCATATTGCGATATATTGCGATGCGGAAGCATATATTGCGATATGTATTGCAATATATTGCAAGGATTATTTTTTTAACAAAAACTAATAATAATCGAGTTAATGCTTGATTATAAAGCAAAAACACAACAAAATCACTATGATTGATTAACCTTTTATAAAAAAATTTAATCATGACAAAACAAAAATGTAAGTAACATTTGGCACTAATGAAACAGGGAAAAGAACAATTAAAAAAATGGAAATATCCGAAGATTTCCGAGTGTTACAAAGTTTTCTGAATGCATGTCAAAATACCGTTTTTTGATCAGCGTATCGCAATACGTATCCTTTTCATGTCTGAACGGGTAAATACCGGTAAACTGGTTATATTGCGCAGCCCTATTGAATACATAGGTATGGCATCAACTGGCAAATGCTTGGCTTCAACTGGCAATATCGAACCTGTTTCCTTATATACTGTCACTAGTCATCTCTAACACATTGCTGCAAAGTATACTGTATATGTTCACTTCACATTTTGAACCTTTGAACAGGGGGAATATTACCTTATAAATGTGCAAAAAGAATTTAGATGTCAGTGTTTGTGGTTTAATGCCACAGTCAGCAACATTTCAACTATATGATGGCAGTCAGAAAATAATGCAATGGACCATGACCAACAATCAATGCCATTGTTTGTTGTTTATCACACTCAGCAATATTCCAGCTATATGGCAGCAGTCGGTTAATAATCTAGTCTGGACCAGAAAATTCAGTGATCAACAGCATGAGCATCAATCTACACAATTGGGATACGATGATGTGTCAACCAAGTCAGCGAACCTGACCACCTTATCCCATTTGTCACCTCTTACGACAAGCATGGGTTGCTGAAGATCAGTTCTAACCCAGATCTCCATGGTTTTCCATGCTATTGGAATCAATGACACACAATAAGTTACTGAGTACTGAGTATGTCTACCCATCCAAAGCCTTCTTAAACAAGCACAGATACTTGACTGAGACGAGTTCAAGTTGATCATTTAGTTGATAGACCATCTTATTGATTACATAGTACTGAGAGAATTTGTATTTCAGTCACAAAAACACAAGTATGGGAGGAAAACCTAAAGCGATGCAGATTAGCTTTCCTCTAGTGATGGTACAGTAGAACATGGATATAGCGAACACGGATATAGCGTACAAACGGATATAGCGAACAAATTTAAAAGTCCCGTCAATAGTCCTTTATAATATCATTAAAATTATACGTGAATAACGAACTCGTGAGTAGCGAATTAACGGCTATAGCGAACTGATTTACTACCCCCAAGACCCAATTAACGACGTGATTAGCGAACTCACTCAGTGTCAGCTCAGCCACTTAGCGGTATACATCAACCTTGTTGGCGGCGAATCAACATTGTTTGATGGTCATTAATTAATTAACAAAACAAACATATCGTGTTTAAAAGCTTGACTGGTATACAGGTCTTCAGTTCACTCTCGTCTCTGTGGCAGACAAACGTAAAGCTATCACCTTTGACACCAAGCTTCAGATAATTCAGGCTGTAGATTCAGGTGTAAAATCTAAGACAAACATCACTTTCGACTTTGGCATTCCAAAATCCACTCCCAGTTCCATTATTAAGAATCGCGAATCTATTCTTGCAAATAGATGCAGTTGACAAAATGAAGTCGGCAAGACGTGGTGTGCAGAGCAAAATTGTGGACTTTGTTAAACACAGTTAAGTTATACATTGTTGAGATTGTTGTGATTGTTAAACATGTTCTAGCTAATGTCTGTCAATGATAAATTCAGAATTTTAATGTTATGTCAATGTACAAGAATAAAGATTTGTAGCCTCAGCATATACATGTCTCTACATCTCTACAATCCAAGATGGCGGTCAAATGTGAATATCGAACAACGGATATAGTGAACTAAATTTCTTGGTCCCTTGGAGTTTGTTACATCCATGTTCTACTGTACTTCTAAATCATACCCACCAGAGAGCTTGTCTTTGTGATAACCTCCTCTTCATTCTGACTTTTAGACTGCAACACCATCACACCACTGTCAAATGTCCGCAGTCTGGAAGGAACACAAACACCACATTTCTATAAACACTTGTCACAACACATGCATAGTACCCTCATACAACTGGTTCTCTTCCACGATAAGGCCAATTTATCTTTCAAATCTTCACTAAAAATTTGGGCATAAGGTGAGGTGAGGTGAAATTGGGTTTAACGTCGCGCTGAAGAATATTTCGCTCATATGACGACGTGCATGCGCGCGCGTGTATCTGAGGCTGCTTGTACTAGCCCAGAATGAAGCTGGTTTTATAGTGCTAGCCCACTGAGATACCAAGCCGCAGTGAAGCATGAATACCCCACTCAGACACATTATACTGACTCCGAGCCGACCAGTCCTTGTTGTACCCATTAATGCCGAGCACCAGGCAGGGACCAACAAGTACCATATTTTAACGTCTTTTGGTATGACGTGGTCGGGGATCGAACCCGCAACCTTCTGCTCTCCAGGCGGACGCTCTAACCACTACACCACGGAGGCGGCCTGTGATGAAGGAGTAAGAATGTACTCTGAAATGTTGTATTCCTCAAAATAAAGAAGTTGACATCCATAAATTCTTGCCTTCATGTGTATCAATTCTAAATACTGTGGGGTGGTGGGTTAGCCTAATGGTTTAAGCGTTGTCTCGTCACGCAGAAGACCGGGTTCAAATCCCCACATGGGCACAATGTGTGAAGCCCATTTCTGGTGTCCCCGCCATGATATTGCTGGAATATTGCTAAAAGCGGCGTAAAACCAAACTCAGTCAGTCAGTCAGTCTAAATGCTGTTCTGGACATTGTCAAGCATGATCATTGACTGAGTAGTGACTGATGAATTGACTGATTAGTTGATTGAAATACTATATTGTAAAGAGGGAACTTTGACATGTATGCATTAGTCCATCCATATATCCATCTATCCATCATTCTACAAGCAAAGGCCAGGTGTGAAAAAAATATCCACAGGAAATTCATGTAAGTGAAGATTAAAGGCACTATTTCAAACCAAACTTCTCAAAAAATAAACAACGCTTTTCTCCAATAATACTAACTATCGGCCCTCAGGGAAACTAAAATATGATTTGTTTTAAAATAAATTACAAATTCAGATTACGATATTTTTAAATAAATTAATGCAACCTTGCATTAAATCAACTCTCGCGCCCTCTACTGACCGAACATTATTTCAAGCAAACCTGATAGAATTATGTCCCTTGGAGCACTCTCCACAAATATCCTAAAACACAACATGTGATTGAAACCAGTTTGGCAAACACTGACAACACCGCGTGCGACAATTTTCGATGTATGGATCAATCGTTTACATTCCATATATGGCAAGTGTTCTCAGTTTGCAAGCTGTTCGCCTGGAAGTTTCAATTATCGATTTCCGGCAAGTCATGAGGGATAAGAAGTCTTTTATTGCATCCATAGGAAGCTAAAGTGAGTGCATATGCCAGTGTATGAAATAAGGCCCGTCCGACCGCCCAAGACGGGCTAAATTTCTGCTGGACGGTCTAACTTTACAGCTAGCCAGCCCGATGGACGGGTGAAAAAAAATATTCCAATAACATGCCCACTGGAACTGACTGGTTAAATCTCTTCTGGGCTGATAAGTTTTTGAAGTTACCAGCCCAGATGTCTAGCTGGGTTTTTGGCTTATTTCATACACTGCATATGCCCCAATATATATAATATAGCCCAAATATTGTCAAAAATGTGTAACATTGTGCCTTTAAGAACTTTTAAGCTGTAAATTTATAAACTTCATTGATTAAATGCACAGATGCTCCCTGATATGAAACACTAGCAGGCCCTGTTTGTTCTTTTTAGTGGAATACAGTGTATACTTTAACACATTTGGTAACTAAAATATGCTGTCTGGATCTGAAACTGTATTTCCCAACTTATGAAGCGTTTTATGAAGCCTATATTTCATGCCACATACACGACGTCCGGTACATGAAGTTTCTGGATATCTGAGATGAAGATAAAGGGGGGGGGCTACTATATTTAAGCAATTATGGCGATCACAAACTCACTATCGTTCAACCATGTCATTTTACGCAACAACTCATACTACACTCTCTTATCATACTCTCTGGCAACTGGCACATAAACACCCTAATTATATATCTTCCTTGCAATTTTGTGTCAAAATATTATCAAGAGGTAAAATCTCAAAAGAGTGTGCTCTTTGTAATAAACAAACATTTGACTATGATTTCCATATGCTTCTCCACTGTGAAAACTTAATACAACAACAAAATGATTTCTTTGCATACTTAATTGATAAACTTGATGTTGAAACTTACGTAATATTTGAAATGCACGGTGAACAAGATATGTTGTCATTTCTCTTTGGAGCAGAAAACGACTTTTATAACTCTATAGATTCAACACTGGGAAACCATACTGTTACGCTTTTAAATGTATGTATATGACCTGAAACCTCACCTTGTGAACTGTTATACAGAATGATTCTCTTGTCATAAATTTCTGTACATAAGTCTCTAAACATCCAATTGTAAATATTTATGTACGTGATGTAATAATATGATGTTTTGTTTGTAATCATCAGTAATTACTGGAGGAAATAAAGTCTCTCTCTGTGCAGGGGTCCACTGATAGTGGTTATGTACAGCGAGCGCACCAGTGATAGTGATCACATTTTCGGGAATATTTGCGGCAAGTGTGTAAAAATTTGAGATCTGAAGTAACATATGGGTGATACACAGTAATTGTTTAGGAGTGATGTCAAGCTGAATATTTGGGCCTTTCATATTTGTCTTTACTTTAACATATTGACGCCATGTCACGTGATACCCTCTCTGCTTATTAACTATCGGGTGTTTCCGTTATAGGCGGAAGTATCAGCACATTTTTTTTTATTTATTGTGATTTACAAACTTTTTGTTCAATTTTAATCAGGGAAATGACTTTTAGAATGCCTTTACCCAAAGAAAAGTTTTGGTTTCGTTAGTATTCTTCTTAATATACAAACTCAGCTTGCCCAATCTATGGGATTAAGCAGATAAGTTAATGGCTCAATCTACGGTAATGAGCACTACTAATTGCGTAATGTGACAGGGTTTGGGCAGAGCTTCGCCCATTCTCAGGGACTATGCAAATATCTTGCGTAATTCACAGATGGAGCAATTCCGTAAATAACGCATTACATATACAAGCTATCCAACTATCCAATGTCCTAGCTATCCATGACCACCAGACACTGTAACAAGTAGACGAGATGTTGGTCTAGGATAGGAATAGAAACGGGTGTCTGACTGAACAGTCTGTCCAGGACTGTCAGTCTGACCAAGCCTAGCTCCCATTTCTTCAGTCCAGCTTTATGAGATTACCTGACAGGCAGCCTGAGGAGTTCCATCAGTTCACAGGCATGCAGCAGGTCCTCCGGGGACAGCAGCTGCAACACACACAACACTATCACAACACCATCACTGCAACACACACAACACCATCACTGCAACATACACAACACCATCACTGAAACATACACAACACCATCACTGCAACATACACACAACACCACTGCAACACACACAACACCATCACTGCAACACACACAACACCATCACTGAAACACACACACCATCACTGCAACACACACAACACCATCACTGCAACATACACAACACCATCACTGCAACATACACAACACCATCACTGCAACATACACATCACCATCACTGCAACATGCACAACACCATCACTGCAACATACACAATACCATCACTGCAACATACACAACACCATCACTGCAACACACACAACACCATCACTGCAACACACAAAACACCATCACTGCAACACACACAACGCCATCACTGAAACACACATACCATCACTGCAACATACACAACACTATCACAAGACCATCACTGCAACATACACAACACCATCACTAAAACACACACACCATCACTGCAACACACACACACCATCATTGCAACACACACACCATCACTACAACATACACAACACCATCACTGCAACATACACAATACCATCACTGCAACATACACAATACCATCACTGCAACATACACAACACCATCACTGCAACACACACAACACCATCACTGCAACACACAACACCATCACTGCAACACACACACCATCACTGCAACACACACAATCACTGCAACAGACATACCATCACCGCAACACACACACACATCACCGCAACACACATACCATCACTGCAACACACACACACACACAATCACCACAACACACACACCATCACTGCAACACACACACCATCACTGCAACATGCACAACACCATCACTGCAACACACACACCATCACTGCAACACACACAATCACTGCAACAGACATACCATCACCGCAACACACACACATCATCACAACACACATACCATCACCGCAACACACACACACACAATCACCACAACACACACACAACACCATCACTGCAACATACACAACACCATCACTGCAACACACACAACACCATCACTGCAACACACACACCATCACTGCAACACACACAACACCATCACTGCAACACACACACCATCACTGAAACATACACAACACCATCACTGCAACATACACACCATCACTGCAACACACACAACACCATCACTGCAACACACACAACACACCATCACTGAAACACACACACCATCACTGCAACACACACAACACCATCACTGCAACATACACAACACCATCACTGCAACATACACAACACCATCACTGCAACACACACATCACCATCACTGCAACATGCACAACACCATCACTGCAACATACACAATACCATCACTGCAACATACACAACACCATCACTGCAACACACACAACACCATCACTGCAACACACACAACACCATCACTGCAACACACACAACACCATCACTGCAACACACATACCATCACTGCAACATACACAACACTATCACAAGACCATCACTGCAACATACACAACACCATCACTAAAACACACACACCATCACTGCAACACACACACACATCATTGCAACACACACACCATCACTACAACATACACAACACCATCACTGCAACATACACAATACCACCATCACTGCAACATACACAACACCATCACTGCAACATACACAACACCATCACTGCAACACACACAACACCATCACTGCAACACACACAACACCATCACTGCAACATACACACACCATCACTGCAACACACACAATCACTGCAACAGACATACCATCACCGCAACATACACAACACCATCACTGCGAACACACATGCACCATCACTGCAACACACACATACACAATCACCACAACACACAACACATCACTGCAACACACAACACCATCACTGCAACATGCACAACACCATCACTGCAACACACATACACCATCACTGCAACACACACAATCACTGCAACAGACATACCATCACCGCGAACACACACACATCATCACTGCAACATACATACACCATCACCGCATCATACACAACAACATCACCACAAACACACAACACCATCACTGCAACATACACAACACCATCACTGCAACACACACACAACACCATCACTGCAACATCACAACACCATCACTGCAACACACACAACACCATCACTGCAACACACACACCATCACTGCAACACACACACAACACCATCACTGCAACACACACACCATCACTGCAACACACATAACACCATCACTGCAACACACACACACCACCATCGCGAACACATACACATCACCAAGAACACACAACAATAATAATAATAATCAATCACAACAACACACCATCATCACTGCAACACACACCATCACTGCAACATACACAACACCATCACTGCAACATACACAACACCATCACTGCAACATACACAAACACCATCACTGCAACATACACAACACCATCACTGCAACATACACAACACCATCACTGCAACACACACAACACCATCACTGCAACATACACAACACCATCACTACAACATACACACACCATCACTGCAACACACACACCATCACTGCAACACACACAACACCATCACTGCAACACACACACCATCACTGCAACACACACAATCACTGCAACAGACATACCATCACCGCGCTCACAATAATAACACATCACCGCAACACACATACCATCACCGCAACACACACACACAATCACCACAACACACACAACACCATCACTGCAACACACACAGCACCATCACTGCAACACACACAGCACCATCACTGCAACACACACACACACACACAATCACCACAACACACACAGCACCATCACTGCAACACACACAGCACCATCACTGCAACACACACACCATCACTGCAACACAAACTCCAGGACATATGAAGATCAAGACATGTGAGGAGATACAGATTATCTCACCAGAAGGAAAAGCATTCACCCTGACCATGAAACAGTTTCAGTGGTCTTGATTTATCTTATGATGGGAGATGAGGACCTACACTGCCTTCAACAGCACACAGCGAAACAGAATGTAAGGTACTGGATGGAGACAAGAGCATAAAGTACTGTTGATCTTTGCTTCCCTCAACAGTGCACAGGGGCACAGAGCATAAGGTACTGCATGAAGACAGAGCATAAGTTACTGGGGACCTATGTTTCCCTTAACATCGCATAGGGACACAGAGCATAAGGTACTGGATGGAGACAGAGCATAAGGTACTGGATACCTATTCTTCCCTCAACCCCATACATGGACACAGAGCATAAGGTACTGGATGGAGACAGAGCATAAGGTACTGGGGACCTATTCTTCCCTCAACCCCACACAGGGACACAGAGCATAAGGTACTGCATGAAGACAGAGCATAAGGTACTGGGGACCTATTCTTCCCTCACTGACTGACTGACTGAGTTTGGTTTTACGCCGCTTTTAGCAATATTCCAGCAACATCACGGCAGGGGACACCAGAAATGGGCTTCACACATTGTACCCATGTGGGGATTCGAACCCGGGTCTTCGGCATGACGAGCCAACGCTTTTAACCATTAGGCTACCCCACTGCCCCACTCTTCCCTCAACCCCACACAGGGACACAGAGCATAAGGTACTGGATGGAGACAGAGTTTAAGGTACTGGAGAACTGTTCTACTTCAAATCATGAACCCACCTCCATTCCTCTGGCTCTGTTCACACGACAGTAGACATCAGTCAAGGTCATCATCCCACCAGCCTCCTGCAAATACACAATAATAATCATCATTCACCAGGAATCTTTCCATAATATTTCATTAGATTCTCAGTTCTATTCTAAAAGAGTGTCAATACACACTTACAACTTATAAATTCAATCAATTTTAAATTCATCTTAAGAATCACGAATAACTGGTACTGTCACCACGTGCAATGTACCCGCTTACATTACAAATATTTTCATTAATGTTCTACAAGAAAAAGACACAGCACTGTTGTCCTGAAGGTAATTTCTTGCAGCAGATGGATTGAGCTTACCAGTTGTCACAACCTGCTTACGGCTTGATGCTGCATATTCAACTTTATCTTCCAAAACTGGCTCCCACAGTAGATACTGCTTGTGTGAGATCAAGTGATATCTACAAGCGATATCTACACCCTTATATCTCACCCTCATGTCTTCTAAAATCAAATATATCAGTTCCCAACTGCACAGATCGATGTTCATGCTGTTGATCACTGGATTATTTACAGACCGCCGCCATATAGCTTGAATATTGCTGAGTGCGGCGTAAAACATAACTCACTCACTCACTCTGATATCAAATATATGTACGAGTGTTGATGAGGGTGAGATTCTCTATTTATCATCCCAAACTGTGTTCCACTGGAGATATTGATTGTGTGAGATCAAACGATATCTCCTAACCTGACGATGTCACAATGCTATGACATTGCTGCACTGCAAGTCTTATGGCACTACCATGTTCAGAGATGTACATGTTTCATTGAAAACTAATGAAAAGAGACGTTAGATGATAAATAGAATCTCATCCTCATGTCTGCTGATATCAATAATATCAACTTTTGTTAATAAAAGTAAAAATATCCTCTTATATTTGTAACTTTATCAACTCATGTTGCTATAATTGATATCAGTAGACACATGGGTGAGATTCTCTCTGTCTTCAACATTTCTGTGACTTAGTGAATATGGTTTTAAGCCACTTTCAGCAATATTTCATCAGTACAACAATGGGCGACACCAAAATGGACTTCACACATTGTACTTTGTGGGAAATCAACCAGAGGTCTTTAACTAATACTTTAACCACTAGCCTACCCCACAGCCCCTCAACATTTCTGTCATCATATCCCAATTGAGTAGATCGATGAGTGAGTGAGTGAGTTTAGTTTTACGCCGCTTTTAGCAATATTCCAGCAATATCGCGGGGGGACACCAGAAATGGGCTTAACACATTGTACCCATGTGGGGAATCGAACCAAGGTCTTCGGCATGATGAGCGAACGCTTTAACCACTAGGCTACCCCACCGCCCCAGTAGATCGATGATCGTGCTGTTGACAGACTACCAGAATATTCTGGGTATGATGTTAAACAACAAATCAACAACCAACCTGACATTTCTGCCTGCAATACAATACAAATAACTTAATGAATTTTTCAACAGAAAAGTAAACAAACATAAACCTCCTGGCATTATACTACCCAGTCACTCTGATGATCCAGATATCCGATGAGGACTGCAAGTTAACATCTGACAGCCCAATAAGGGAGACAACTGCACATAGCGTCTCAGTTTCGTTCAGTAAAATCATAGTTACAAGGACTGAACAACATCCCAACATTGTGTTCAGATATGCGAGTGAGTGAGTTTGGTTTTACACCACTTTTAGCAATATTCCAGCAATATCACAGCGAGGCACAGAAGAAATGGGATTCACACATGTGGGGAATCAAACTGTTTTTCAGTCTGGCGAGTGAACACCTTTTCGGGTTTGGAAAACCTTACCTACTAGCAGAGGCCCAGATAAGCTGCGTAACCGGGTAAAATAAGCACTGAAAATTTCCAATTACACATTGAAAAATAATTGTTGCGTACCAATTACACATTGAAAATGTTTGATACTCAAAAAGTTTAAAACATATGCGTACGGAATAAATTCATAAAAATCGCTTGCGTAATGAAACAGACATCGATTGCTATGAAGTTGTACTGTTAGTATAGGACTAGTGTTGTACTGTCAGTATAGGATGAGTGATTTTTTACGAAATCATTTCCATTATATTTAACTTGGTTTTGATTAGGTACGACATGAGGCAGAACATACCTGCTTAGTAAACATACTCAATGACATATACTTAGGTGAGTAAAATGACTGAAATACGCACATATTTGAAAGCAGTGGGTAACGGAAAATGAAATACCCACTCAACATTTAAAATACCTACTCCAAAAAAATACAGTGGGTACAGTACCCACATGAGCTCAATCTTATCTGGAGCTCTGTACTAGGCTACCCTATCCCTCTGTGTTCAGATGAAGGTATTAGGTTTATTACTGTTTGGATTCACTCGACAAAAATCTGATCCAGTAACACTATTCAAGTCCTATGCCGAAATTAGACAGAATGTAGGTGTGGACTAATATTCAATTTAAGACAGAGGAAAGCAGTGCACTGGTAGGTCGTACCTCTACAGGTTTCTCCAGCACTGAGACAAGTTGTTTTGCCAGCTCTACGTAGTACTTGTCCCCTGTCCCATGTGTCTCTCTCGTCACAGGGTTCGGAATGCCCATACTTAGCAGATACGACTTGAACTTCACCGTCTGAAAATAGAAGTAACGTCAAATTATTTTCTCCTTGACCAGTTTCTTCTTGACTAGTTTCTAATCATCACTAGGTGAATGAGTACTATGCTGGGATCAAAGCTAATTTAGATCAGTATTTCTGGTTGGCGAGAGAGCTGATGTTTCATGTCACATCCGATTTCTTCAGCAACGTAACAGCATATTTCAGCCATCCCATGTTATGTCAAGTTTAGCTGGGTGGCCACAGTGCAGGACATAGATACTTACAGCTTTATTTCCACATCCACCAACACTGTACCAACCAAATATCATAACCTTGTAAATCTGTCAACTGATCTCATGGCAAATCCTAGGATATCAAAGGGAGATGACTGTGATTCAATCACAGTACAGCATGCTTTTTTGTTAAAACTCCTAAACTGTAAAATGTTACATGTCTTTCTTTTTATAAAGGTGGTTGGCATAAATGAACTGTTTACTTCATCTTCAGTTATGTCCCCTTGCTTGTCCTTGATCTTCGTGGCTATTGTTCTTGACAAATGAACCATCTCTTTAGCCTGGAAAAATAAATGTAAAGGATTATAGCACATTCATGTAAAGGATTAGAGCACATATATGTAAACGATTAGAGCACATATATGTAAGGATTAGAGCACATATATGTAAACGATTAGAGCACATATATGTAAACGATTAGATCACATTCATGTAAAGGATTAGAGCACAATATGTAAAGGATTATTTATAAACAATACATACAAATTTGACACTGCCCTTCGACAGTGACAGACTTGTTAATTTTGACTTTTTTCATAAAATAATAGATTTATGGATTATTTTGAACTTTCAAAAGGAATTAAAAATTTAAAGAATTTATAATGTGAGAGTGACTCACAATGCATACATTGACATTAGAGTATGCAATTCAAGCACTAGAAGGGAGGAAAAGACTGGCTGGAGTATGTCCACCAAACCACAATCATATCCATTACCACCCTATCTCACACCACAAGCGACCTCTGTCAGTGACCTCGGTCTCGTCTGTAGTGGTGGTCCGATTAATTGAAATAATCGAAGATTGGTCGCAATGACAAAACGACCAAGCAATCGATCATGTTTTCTCATAATCGAACACAAACAATTTTGGAACACTTGCTTGCAATAACAATATTTTTCAAAAGGTTAATTTTGTCTCTACACTGCATAAGCACTACAAGCTCGTTTAAAGTCATGATTAAATTTATCTTAACAACTCCAGGAAATGTGTGTTCCTAACACACTAGTCATCCTTTAAAGATGTGAAATTTGCAAATGCATTTTGTGCAATTTGCGGGGAAAAACGAGAGAACTACATGTTTTTCTTTATTTTTTTGTGCATTAACAAACATAACCAGGAAAATTTGATAAATGACGCTAACCAATTATTTTCGATGATTGATCGGTTGTAATGAACCAATCGTCAATTATGAGATTTACACCAATTCCTAACACTACTCGTCTGTGATACAACAACAGAACATGGTGAAGACAAACCTTTTCAATGAGTTTACTGAGATCCTCGAATGCCACGGATATGTTTTTGTTTGTTTCATGGTGCTTCTTCTGTATGGATCTCTCGATGCCGACGATGCCGGGGCGGTGACGAGGCAGCTGAAACAACACGACAGTAACAGATTTGTGAGGTCAGACACACTGCATGTCAATCACTGGATTGTCTGGTCAGACACAAGTATTTACAGACCACTGTCATATAGTTGGAATGCCAATGACTGTGGCATTAAACAACAAAGAAAGTTACATAGAGCAGAGCTCCAGATAAGATTTAGCTCATGTGGGTACTGTACCCACTGTATTGTTTTGGAGTGGGTATTTTGAATGTTGAGTGGGTATTTCATTTTCTGTTACCCCCCAGATAGCATTCAGACGTTGGCCCAACGTTGGCAATGGTTTTGCCAACATTGCCAACGTTGGGCCAACGTTCGAATGCTATCTGGGCCACTGCTTTCAAATATGTGGGTATTTTAGTGATTTTACTCAGCTAAGTATATGTCATTGAGTATGTTTACTAAGCAGGTATGTTCTGCCTTATGTCGTACCGATACAAAACCAACTTAAATATAACGGAAATGATTTCATAAAAAATCACTCATCTTATACTGACAGTACAACACTAGTCCTATACTAACAGTACAACTTCATAGCAATCGATGTCTGTTTCATTACACAAACGATTTTTATGAATTTATTCCGTACGCATATGTTTTAAACTTTGAGTATCAAACATTTTCAATGTGTAATTGGTACGCAACAATTATTTTTCAATGTGTAATTGGAAATTTTCAATGCGTATTTTACCCGGTTACGCAGCTTATCTGGGCCTCTGTAGAGTGTGAAATATTTTGTAGTCAACATATTCCAATACAACTATAATTTCACAATGCTCATGATGTCAATCACTGGATTGTCTGGTTCAGACACAAGTATTTTACAGACCACTGTCATACAGCTGGGATACCAAGAGTTTTAAACAACAAAGGTATGTATAGTGTTGGTGTTAAACAACAAAGGTATGTATAGTGTTGGTGTTAAACAACAAAGGTATGTATAGTGTTGGTGTTAAACAACAAAGGTATGTATAGTGTTGGTGTTAAACAACAAAGGTATGTATAGTGTTGGTGTTAAACAACAACATAGTGTGTGTTAAACAACATAGTGTGTGGTGTTAAACAACAACAAAGGTATGTATAAACAACAAATGGTATGTATAGTGTTGGTGTTAAACAACAAAGGTATGTATAGTGTGTGTTAACAACAAAGGTATGTATAGTGTTGGTGTTAAACAACAAAGGTATGTATAGTGTTGTTTAAACAAAAGGTATGTACAAAACAACAAAGGTATGTATAGTGGTATATGTATAGTGTATGGTGTTAAACAACAAAAGGTATGTATAGTGTGCCTTGGTGTTAAACAACAACAAAGGTGTATGGTATGTATAGTGTGTGGGTGTTAAACAACAAAGGTATGTATAGTGTTGGTGTTAAACAACAAAGGTATGTATAGTGTTGGTGTTAAACAACAAAGGTATGTATAGTGTTGGTGTTAAACAACAAAGGTATGTATAGTGTGGGTGTTAAACAACAAAGGTATGTATAGTGTGGGTGTTAAACAACAAAGGTATGTATAGTGTGGGTGTTAAACAACAAAGGTATGTATAGTGTGGGTGTTAAACAACAAAGGTATGTATAGTGTGGGTGTTAAACAACAAAGGTATGTATAGTGTGCAATATTTTGCAAACTATAATCTCACCGATGGATGGGGTGCCGCAGATTGCACTTTCTGTTCCCATCTCTTCTGTTCCAACTCAGTTTGGAAACGCCGGAAGAACTAGAAAAGAAATCCAGATGTACAATTACCTCCAGTCCATACTGGGTTCACAAACTATTAACCTGGCAAATTTTCACAGCCTTTAGAAGAATTACCATGGAAATATATCAAGCAGTTTATGTGACTTGTCCTTCTTTTAAACTTTAAGAAATTTATCAGCAAATGAAAAAACAGAGACTGAAGACATGGAATTGGAAGATACAGTATGGGTTGATTTGTATAATGTCATTTGCAACCTTCACAGACTTTACTTTAATTTCATGCCACATGAAAATTCAGATCTAATTTGGAGGAACATTAATTGTATGATTTACAGTAATGGGGCTAGTTAAGTTTCAGGTAAATTCCACAACAGATAGAGTATTACGGTTAAAATTGATCTTCAGTAACACATGCTTGTCGTAAGAGGCGACAAACTGGTTCGGGAGGACAGGCTCGCTGACTTGAATGATACAAAGTTCATGATGTAGATCACTGGATTGTCTGGTCCAGACTCGATTAATTCTAACCCAGATCTTCATGGGTACCAAAAAGGTGTCTAAGCTGGGTGTGCATTATGCTTGTGTATGCTATACTCAAGTAAATTCCTTTATTCGGAACAGCGCCGCTGGTTGGCACTGACCTCCTTCTGGCCTGCCTCCCTGAAGGACAACCTGATGAAGCTGTGTGGGCTATGGGAGGTGGGGCCAGATGGCTTGTTGGGAGGGGTCTGGCTCAGATGGACGATGATCTTCGCACTGAAACAGTTGGAGACATCATCCATATTTCTGTCAACATCATCAGAACCATTTATATGCAGGGAAATGGAGCCAAGCTTCTCAAAACTTGCTCCAATGATGTTACTACAAGAAGACAAAGTCATCAATATCCCCCGCAATGGCAAAATACTCTTCATGATTATGTCTACGAGTTATGGATGAGTTACGAGAACGGATGGAGACGGCACAGCACAGGTTAATGAATAAATAACTTTGTCTGTGAACGTGCTTCTCGAACACCTGGCTGTCCCTTTCTCTGCACTCCTCCCTCGTAACAAACAGTGAACTGTGTCAATATTTTAATGATAGATTGTTAAACAACCTTTTTATTTTAGGACAAAAATTCTGCAAAAACCTCACAGAGTGGGTATGATGTTTTGATTATGATCAGCGTTTCATTGAGTATGTTATGTTTATTAGTTTTCGAGTTAGATTGCAATTCATCGGTCCGCTTTTGAGCCAAACTGACTGTAGTGGCTGAACACCATATTCTAACCCGGACCTAGACTTATACTAAGACAAGATCGATGACACAGGTTTCACTTATCCCTAATCAGTTACAATCATAAACCAGACCTAACTGTCAACATACCTTTTGGCAAAGCCTGAAGCCTGTTCTTCCAGATAGACCACGAGAGCAAGGGGTAGTGCAACCACACAGTTCTGCAACAGAAACACTCAGTCATGTCAACTTCCTCAGATTCCTTATCCTGAGTGAGTGAATGAGGGAGCGAGCATGGGAACGAATGAATGAGAGAGTGAGAATTGGGTTTTACACCGCTTTAAGAAATATTCCAGTAATCATGTTGAGGATACCAGAAATGGGCTTAACATATTGTACCCATATTGGACATTGAACCACTGTTTTCAATGTGATAAGCAAACACTTTAACCAATACAGGGCTTGATTTAAGAGATGTTAACCTACATGCACCAGGTGCAACCTAAGATAAAAACCTAGTTGCACCAGCCAAATTCCAGTTGCACTGTCTTTATTGCAATATGCAATGTAAGAAATATGGTATTGAATTATTTAGATGTTTTATTGAGAGTTTACCCACTCAAAAATTGAGTTGCACCAGGTGCAAGTTCAGCTAATAGCTAGATTGCACTTTGTAATATTGGGTTGCACAAGTGCAAGTAACAAAGTACTAAATCGAGCCCTGCAATAGGTTACCCCTGCTGCCTCTTTGGAAGCTGATGAGAAAAGAGTACATTAAGAACGATCATGAGGTTTGCCCTCTTATTGCCTACACCTAATTTCGTTACACCCCATTTGGCCTACACTAATTACAAAACTTTACTTCCACACCCCTGTTATGTAGAACGGAAGTGTCCACTAACCCATCAATGATGTGATTCACTGGCCTCACCTGATGTTCTGCCAATGAATTAAAACTCTGAGCTGTTTGGTATATAGAGGCATTTATCTAAACCTGCTAAGATGCCAGAATACTATCTCACGTATGCAGCAAATGTGAAAAACAAAACTGGGACATAAGATATTAATTGATTTTAATTAATACATGCATAACTAACGTGCTTGCTTGGTCGAAGTGTCTTTATTTCTCAGCACCAACAGGAAGTGTTTTAAGTGTTACATTTTACCATAATTAATAAATTGAATACAAGATTAAGTGAATAAATATCAATTCAACTAATTTGCATATTTTCTCCCCAATGGCACTTAGTTTTGAATCATGGATAATTCCCTATGGCATGTTCTCATTTCGCCTACATCCCAATTCGCCTACAGTCTTAAAACAACATTTAATGGTCTGTTGACTGTTGATTACGCAATGGTAAACTAGTGGCACCCCTGTGATCTAAAAGTGGACTAGTCTAGTTGAAGTAGTTGAAGGACAAAAAGACACTTTTAAAAGAATTTATTTCTGTTATTTGTCTGTTATTTATTTACTCTGTTATTTGTCATTTTTCGATCACAATGATATTCACATCATATCACATCATATAACATCATATCACATTAGTGTTAAGGACGTTTACTTGTGCGGATGTCAGATAGACAGACAGACAGACAATACTTTATTACCTTAAAAGGAATTCGTTTTGGTTCACAGAGCTTGACAAAAATACAAATGAATAACAACATAAAAGATGACATTACTAAAAACATAAAAAGAGGTAAATATGTGCTTAAATAAAATTAAATGAATAAGGTGATAATTGGACATACAACATTTGTTTAAAATTGCAATACTTTGAGGTACAAAAGACATTCGAGCGTGTTTAATTTGGGTGATTGGCACTGTATAGCGGCGGCCCGAAGGTAAAAGCTTACACTTTAGATTTAAAAATGTGTTGTGTCATAAATGCTTTCTTCAGACGTTGAAAGTACTTGCCGCTCATAGAGAATATATTTAATATTCATTATCCATTTATGCTTACTTTTTCCAAAATGTCTGTCTTAAAAAGTAATTTAGAGATGAGTAAGGTTAATTTGGAAGATTTACCTGATTAGTATGGCACTGACCAGTGAGTCAGGTTCATTATAAGAGTAGGGGTGCATTTTCTAATCTCAAATAGCCTACATAGTTTTTGTATGCGAAATGGGTTGTAGGCGAATAGAGACCAAACCTTCCCTATACTAGTATGCAGAGTAAGAAATCTAGTCCTTCAGGTGACCTGTCAAATGATATGAAATAGAGGATATTTTGTTAAAGTTGTCAAATAACATATAAACTTTGTCAGACCACAAGATGAAATATACATGTTATTTGACAACATTAACAAAATATTCTATTTATTATATTTTGATCATTGTTTATAAATGATCGAGACATTGAGTAAGTCTGCATTTTAATCAGAAAGTAGTTCCAGGCAAAAGTGATATTCTGCTCAGTGAAAATACCATTTTTATTTTCACCAATATTTTCAGTTTTTCACCCTTATAAATATAATAAAGACGGTTATGCTCACTCTGTTTCGGTGGTCTCTCCATAGAAGTCTGTGGGTTGTCAACGACAGCACACCATATTCAAAGGATGTCTGAAACACAAAAGGACAGCCTGTACTTCACATTTCAATCAACTTCTGCAGCAACATTTGCAAAATTTGAAATATGGTTTGTTTTTTGTATTGTTTGGACCAGAAAATCCAGTGATCAACATCATGAGCATTAATGACATGTGTAAATCAAGTCATCGAGTCTGACCACCCAATCCCATTAGTTGCCTCTTACGACAAGCATGGGTTGCTGAAGACCAGTTAACATGTCATATCCTAATTGCGTAGATTGATGCTCAGACTGTTGATCCCTGGATTGTCTGGTCCAGACTCGAATATTTACATATAGCTGGAATATTGCTGAGTGGTGCGTAAAACTAAACTCATTCACTCACACAGGGGTACAGAACAAGATTCATTTTTTAACCAAACGAAAATTGTCAGATAGTCACTTTTATATTTTTCCTAATTCATGGATTATTTGCACTAATTATCTTGGGTAGGTTGTAGGGCTGTGTATTGGCAAATAAATTGTATTGCAAGCTATTAACAAACCATTGCGATTCTGGTACCCATATTCCGATACGCTTTGTGATATATTGGGAACTTCGGTCTTTGATGGTGAGTGACACTGATTGTACATGCAGAGACTATTTTCTTCATACTAAAGCCCTAAAAGTAAATGTTATGGTTGTGATAACAGAAATCTCGAATTTAGATTTGATCTTGAGGGATTGTATTTTCATTTTTATAAAATTTATTGGAAGTATGCACACATTTAAGTGTGAATAAAAGTCTGTGTAGATTTTAACTTAGACCCCGGGGATAATAACAAAATTTCATACATTTTTATTACCCAATATACCGGTTTTGAGAAAAAAGCATTGCAATACAGATAGTTTGAAAGACGTATTGTGACATACCGGTATAATAATAATAATACAGTAGATTTGTTATGCGCCAAAACTCCAGGCACTTGGTGTCTGCTCATGGCGCTACACAAAATTTAAATACACTGCAGTAGAGGTGCTATATTTTCACTGGTATATCAATCTTTATAGAAATTTTGGAAGAGATGAGTCTTTATGCAGCTTTTAAAGATTGTCAATGATGGGGATTTCTTTATTCCCAAGGGCAGATCGTTGGGGCCATGTAAGCAAATGATCTCTGTCCATACTTTTTGAGGCGGGATTTGGGTACTTTAAGAAGTAACTGATCAGCAGATCTTAGTGTCCGAGAAGGTTCATATTTCTCAATCAATTCTGTCAGATAGGCAGGAGCTGTTTGATTGACACATTTATATGTCAGTGTGAGAATCTTGTATTGGACTCGAGCTTGGACTGGGAGCCAGTGTAGGGAAGTTAGCACTGGTGTTATATGTGCACACTTCCTCGTTCGGGTCACGATCCATGCTGCAGTGTTTTGGACCCGTTGGAGTTTCGCAAACTGTTCCTGGGTTAGATTTCCCAAAAAGCTATTTGCATAATCAAGTCTTGTCAATACAAGTGTTCTTGCTAGCCATATGTGCCATATCAGTAGAGAGAAGATCTCTAATGGAACCAATATTCCTTAGATGAAAATAGCAAGTGTGACAGATTTTAGATATGTGATCATCCATTGATGGACTGTTGTCGAAAACCACACCAAGATTCTTGACACATTCCAAAACTAATGGAAATTAATGATAATACCGTGCAGTCCTAGTAGGTTGAAATACCACTGTTGTGTAGTTGAACATTTTATTGAAATATTTTGTTTGTTTTGGTCATTCAGTTTAGTGGGGAAAAGTGAGGTCTTCCTTAGTGTACATGTCCTGCACCTACGTACTCCTGTGGGTACAACTTCACCTGAGCTTTGTGATTGGTGTTGCATCTCACACGACATAACTAACTTGTGGGGAATCAAACCCAGGTCTTTGGCAAGACATGTGAAGGCTTTAACCACTAGGGCTACCCACCACCCAGAAATGTCACAGTATGTAAGTTGACATTTTGTGTAAGAACTGACTGACTGACTGAGTTTAGTTTTATGCCGCTTTTAGCAATATTCCAGCAACATCACGGCAGGGGGACACCAGAAGTGGGCTTCCAACATTGTGCCCATGTGGGGAAGTCGAACCTGGTCTCTGAAATAGGCTTTAACCACTCTACCCCAATGTAATGAACTAACACTTTTCAAATATATTCTGAGATAGGTAATCATCTTGTTATGAAGTCTGTATCTTGTAATAAAGTATGTATCTTGTAATGATGTATCTTGTAATGAAGTATGTATCTTGTAATTTCAACAGGAAGCATTTTGAAATATCAAGACAGATATTCAAAACAAACGCGCAAAGGTTTCCATGTTTTTCAGTTGAACCTGTAGATCTTTACATATCTTTATCTCATTAACCGCCGCCATGTAGCTGGAATATTGTTGATTGAGGCGTTAAACAACAACCAACAAATCTTATCAAATGAACCTATTCCATGTACCGGTACTTGAACTCACTCACTGTTAAGTAGACATGATTAATCACTGTTGTGAGTTCAAGTGACATTTTATACACTTGAGCCAGCACATGAATAGATACAGATTAAAACTATACTCGAGAAGCTTTACTGTGTTTCCTCTTTCTTTCAATATGTTCCACTTCTTGTTCAACCCTGCACTCAGAAATATTCTAACTACATGAAAAACCACAGGTTAAAGATCCAGGTTAGAATTGGTCTTCAGCAACTAATGCTTGTCATAAGAGGCAACTAATGGGATTGGGTGGCCAGACTCACTGACTTGGTCGACACGTCATATCCCAATTGCGTAGATCGAAGCTTATGCTGTTGATCACTGGATTGTCTTGTCCAGACCTGATTATGTACAGACCGGCACCATATACATCATGATATAGGTGGAAACTTGCTGAGTGTTGTTCATACTGTAGTACTATTTGATATATTTTAATTGCCTTGTGCAATGGATGGATGGATGCATAGATGGATGATGGATGGATGGATGGATGATGGATGATGTATGGTGGATGGATGAGCGAGTTTGGTTTTACGCCCCTTTCAGTTATATTCCAGCAACATCATGGCGGGGGAAACCAGAAATGGGCTTCACACATTGTGCCCATGTGGGGATTCGAACCCGGGTCTTCGGTGTGATGAGCCAATGCTTTAACCATTAGGCTACCCCACCGCCCCGGTGGATGGATGAAGGATGGTTGGATGGATGGATGGATGGATATGCTGGGCGAATCAGTTGACATTAGTGTTGGGAATTGGGTGAAATCTCACAATTGATGATTGGTTTATTGCCAACGGGCAATCATCGAAAACAACTGGTTAGGTTCATTTTTAAGATTTTCCTGTTCAGGTTGTTATTGCAGGTAAGTAGAACATGGTTCTCTGTTGCTTCTTGTCTTACTTAGATATTGCGCAAATTGCATTTGCAACTTTCACATCCAATGTAAAATGATGCAACTTGACTTTCAAGTGATGACAAATATTACGTTAACATAAGACCTCCCAGCGTCTTCAAGAAATATTCAGTTATGACTTTTCAGTAAATGAAATGAGTTTTCTAAGAATTAAACTTTGTTAATGGCCCTGTCAACTTTTAAGATATGATCCACCATCAAGTATGGCCAAAATCGTTTGTGTTCGATTATGAGAAAATGTGATCGATTGCTTGGTTGTTTGGTCACTGTGACCAATCTTCGATTATTTCAATTAATCAGACCACCACTAGTTGACATCACCAGTGCTGCTGGGAGCTAACTGTTGCTCTCAACTCTCTCTGACAGAAGTATCAATATCATGGTAAAATAGTATCTGTGTTACTACATAAAACATTGTGAAATAAGGAAAGTTGATTCTGTCAATGGAAATCGTTCCAATAATCCGTCCCACCCCTACACTTCAGAAATTGAGATATAGCCATCAATAAACTTTTGAACTGGTACCTTAGAACATACAACCAGCACAGACTGCTGTGCTGGTGCTGCCCTATAATTCCCATGGGACTTTCAATTAGTACATACAGACATTTCATCTCTATAAGTATATACATGGTATTTTGATTAAGAAAAAGAGGTGTCCATGTTGGGAGAGTGAAACCCTTGTCAGGTTGACTATACTGATGGCGAGAAACCATCAAAACACTCAAGTTTGCTGGAAAGATCAGGACGATGAACATTCACAAGGGCATCCTCTCTCTGAAGAAGATGCTGACAAGTGTGATCCACTGATATAGATCAACCCCATCTCATTTCCACATGGGTCAAGGGCTGTTTTTAAAACCTGGTGCAAACAGGTGATCGTGCCCTAACATACTGGAATGCACATGTCCGGCACATGCTTCAAACAATCTCAAAAGCCATGGGTCACATGTTCATGTGCTATTATAGCAACAAGTACAATGGGGGAATATATTTCACCATAGAAAAAAATACCAAAAAACATTCAAAAATAACTCTTTTATTGGATACAATATAAAACAATATCCAATGATCATAGAACATTTGTAATTTTATTGATTTTCACAAATTTGAGGCTACCATGGTTACAAGTAAAAAACAATATGGAAAAATAAAATTTAGAAGTGTCATGTTTCGTAATTATACATCACCATCATTCAAGAACTAGTGCTTCCTGATTCTTAATTTTGTGACCATTTTCATTTTTTGATTGGCATTCTTGAAGTTGAGTAGATAAAGAATGAGGACTATTTATACAACTTCTTTATTCTGTATAGGCGACGTTTCGACATAGATTCTAATGTCGCTGTTCACTTGTCCACTTGCTTGACAACATTAGAATGTCAAAATGTCACCTATACAGAATAAAGAAGTTGTATAGCCATAAAAATAGTCCTCATTCACCACATTCATTTCCAAAAAGGAGATGAGATATAATTACAAATTTCTTCTATTATTACAATCATCACTAGGGAAATATATTTATATTAACTTGTCTGTGAAGAACCTGCCATTACTTTATAAGAATTGCAAGAAAATTCACACAGAAAAATATTTACTCCTGTCATGCCAATGCAGCTTCACCATTATCTCCATCAACACATCCTGGTTGATCAACAAACATGGACCCTGTAACACAATAACAAAACCTGACTAGTGAAAGTATAACTGTATTGTCAAAGAACTTAGACATAAACATAATGAAGAAGCATTTTCCTTTCATGTCTTCTATGACCTCAGGGGTGGAAATAACTTTAAAATTGCTAGTGTACTCCGGTACAGTGGCACATGTAAAATCACTTGCCCTGATAATTTTTCCACTATACCGGCCATTTTCTTGTTGATTTTTTAAATAAACAACATAATTATCATTGGAATATCAACTGGACACCGGTAGAGTGTGACATACAAATTTGCTTGCCCAACAGAAAAAAACACTGGACTCGGGCGTCGGGCAATGGGTTATTTCCACCCCTGGACCTATTCACAGTTGTTAGCAGAGCTCTTGGTACCTTGGTACAAATCTGCAACAGTTTCTTCACATTAGTGTGTATGGGTTATCATACCAATCGGGTTCCCGCAAGTATTTCAACATCACATAATTTCGAACCTTCTGAGGCAGTTCCAGCAAGCTGTTCTCACCCTTTATGAGACGTCCACTGCTAGCTTGAAGAATGACTTTTCGACAAAGAACCCTCAGTTTACGTGGATTCTGGACAAGAGACTGTAAGGAGTCTTTGTTCAATGGAAGGAAAGACAGGTCTGACAAACAAAAGGCTTTCACCTGAGTATCATCAGTTGCTACATAGTGAGAAAGGTTGACTGAAACTTCTAGAAACATGAGGGCAATTCTGCTCAGTTTCTCAGGGATGCAGTATGTGAGTGGATAAACCTCACGACCTGATCCAGTATCTGGATTAGCCCCAGCCTGGATTAATGACACAAACAACGATTCCTCAGGACCCAAAGCTTCAAAGGAAGTTGGAATAATTGGAAAGTTATCTTCCCCAAGGAGATCTCGTGTGAAGTATAACAGTGGTGTCTCTCCAGTTAATGTCTGTGAGTTTACATCAGCACCGTGTTCACACAACGTCTCCACCACAGGCTGTGCGGACATAAACACACTCAGAGATCCCATCAGCATGAAATGTAATGGGGTCATTTTTGACACCTTTGTGATGAAGCCATCTTGGTCTTCAAAGAAAGCATCAACACACTTGTTCACTCTTGCTATCCAAGCACACAGCATCTTCGAGTCAACATACACAGTAGGTTTGGCCCCGTTTTCCAACAACCACTTAACAATTTTCATATTCTGCCCCCAACATGCTATGAAAAGGGGTGAAAATGGAGTCTCTGGGGTAAAAGTATTTACATCAAATCCAAGCTTCTGAATCACCTCTAACCTTTCCACAGAATCATCAAAACAGGCATAATGATAGGGATTGGACAAACGTAGCTGACATCCCTTGTCAACAAGTCTTCTCATGAACTTTGCATCACACAAACTGACCACAGCCTCATCAACAACAGAATGTCCATAACTATTGACTACTGATAAATCAACATCAAGGTTTAAAAATATCTCAAACATATTATCATAGATAAAATATTCTGAGACTTTTTCGGTAAACACTCTCAATCCAAGTTTCCGCAGCAGAATATGAACCAAACTGTCTCCAGTCGTTGCCTTTGTCTGAACGTCGTTATCAGACGGTTGTGGATTATCCTGATTAACACTTTCTCTTTCAATCTTCTTATTCACATCTGCCCCTGCAGCTATCAACTGTTTTAAACAGCCAACCTGTTTTTGCTTGATTGCCATGTACAATGGAAACACACCGTAACTGTTGGATATATTGACATTTTGTACACCTGCCTCCAGAAGTATTTTCAATATTTCTGGTTTCTTGTAGCGAATAGCTAGTATAACATCACTATCACCATGACCGGTCAAGTCTGTCCTATCAATACCAGCATCTAATAAGATCTTCACTACTTCACCATGCCCATTAATAATTGCTGCTCCAAGCAAATAGCTTCTATTGTTTTTCAAATGTTCAATCTGATTCACTCCAAGTTCCTTCAGAATAAACAGGAGAATGTTTGCTGCACCTTTCGTACAAGCTTCTAATAATACCAGGTGCAACTGTTCTGGTATATCTTCATCTGTACTGTCAATACAAATGTCCAACAACTTGGGATTATCACTGTCAAGAGCAGCTTGAATGGATCTAGACAGAGTGTCCTCACAAATGGCTTCTTCATATATGTCATACTGGAAAATATCATCTGCCATGTTTGTCTGAAAGTATAGTCAGATCCAACTTTTAAAAATAATCTGTTATATCACCGTGTCAGCCACCATCAGAGAGGGCAACATTTCCTTGTTCCACCATCATTGATCTTGAAAGTAGGGCATGTCAAGGGAAGTAACTCTAAATACTGCCAAAAAAGAGGCCCTGTTCAGGAGGGAAATGTTTTGTTAGGATATTTTCACTGGCATATGTACATGTTGACAGAGGTTGCAAAAATCATCCAAGTATGTATACAATGAACAGTAACAATTTCAGTAGATATAATGACACTTGAAAACAATAGTTTCACTAAACTCAATGCTTGAAATAAGCAACCCATTTGTGTGATAACTTTATACTAATATTTCATATTTCTATCAAAAGGTCTGATCATTGTTAAAGATTATGGCTGGGTCTGTGGGATTAATCATAGATGTTATAATTCCTATTTTTCTGATCTTCACTCTTTCCACCAATACAGCTTTTTTTTATACTATTCACACTTTGCTAAGGATCAAATCAATGGATTCAACAGAAAACTATGATGTGGGGTCAAAATTTGGTTTAAATATCTAAGCTTATTGTAAGCATGGATGCTAGGTTTCAGTTTGTCATTTTGTTTAGTGGATCCCATATGTGCTATTGACAGGGGTTGTATACTTGTCAATGACTTGTTCCATGATTTGCAAAATGGTTGAGTGATGCCATGAAAACCATTTTTAAGGTTACTCATGTATAAAGTGCATAAGGTTAGATTAAAGTGGGTGTCAAAACTATATCGTATCGTCGGAAGTGAAGAAACAAACTTTGAAAATGAAAATAGATATGTGTCTAGGAAACCTGCAATCAAACTGATAATTCAGTTTTTCTTCCCGTTATGCTACCTGTTATTTAACTCAGCCGGAAATAGCAATCAGCTGTGTACAAATGTTTTCCTCCAATCTACCGGTGATTCAGTTAAAAACGAACTGAAAATATAGCATCAAAGAATTTATTCCATTACCAGAATAATTCATATCTCAAACAGTTATTTCAATAGAGATAATATATATTGCTATCGTATTAGTATTAAGCATGTTTTCTACGCACATATTTGAAATAATAATTAACAAATAGGCTCAGCACTTACGTATGAGACAGTTTGACAAGTCACCGTTGACTTCCCACGGAGCATGCCACTTTGATTGTAAAAACAAAATGTGAAACATGACTTCAGTGAGTCAATAATGCGGGTCTAGGGGTATATGGATGATGAAGCGGTGATCAGTTCGAAACTGTTAAAAATAATGTGACATTGGTGATATCGCAGTAGGCGCGAAAAACAGACCCTCGTGAACATGGTAAGCGGAAGTGGTACGCGTATAGAATGAGGTGATGCCATTTCACACACGTTTTCTCCGATGTTACTGTAAACAGTGTTTTTATGAATGAAAATGGGATTAAATGTAATCAAATAAAATGAGATCGAGGAAGTTTTATTATGAGTTTTTACATCATACGTTTTCGGATGGCATGTTTACTCGCTATATTACGCTGTGTGTTGCATCAGAGCAAACGTGGTGAGTACTCGGCTGATAGTATGTCTTTATGATAAAGTTATTACGATGTTCCGATGTTCGTCTGATTTGAAATAACTGGAAAAAAAACAGAACCCAGCTACTGATCTGGTATCTGCATTTGCTGTCTTGCTGACCTTGTAAGTTGACGACTTGAGGCGATCTCGAACTTACTTCCAGAGTGCCGTTGTACAAAGCGATCTTAGCGCTAAGGTTACCGTAACTCACATTCATTAACGTAGACTTAAGGTAGCCTTAGCGTTAAGGTTGCTTTGTACAACGGCACCCAGGAAAATAGCGGCCGTCCATCGAAGAAATGCACAGATTTTGATGAAATGATTCGATTTCAAGACGCATTACGGTATAGCGAACCGAAGGCAAAATACCATGGTTCAACTCATACCACAGTATACCGTTTCACCCCTAGTATTTACCACAAACTTTGTATTCTATTTACCATACACCTTGTACAGTATTTATCACACACTTTGTACAGAGCTGACTAGACACAATGTTCAATATTTATAACACACCTTGTATAGTATTTATCACACACCATGTACAGTATTTATCACACACTGTGTACAGTATTTATCACACAGATTGTACAGTATTTACCAACACCTTTACAGTACTTACCAAACACCTTGTACAGTATCTATCACACACCTTGTACAGTATCTATCAGACACCTTGAACAGTATAGTACACCATGTCCATTTTTATGATTCAGACTCCAAATAGACTTAAATATCTATTAATCAACTTCCTGTGCAATGTAACTCCATTAAATCTTTCAAGAATACATAGTTTTGAAGCTTCACTGGCAACATGTGAAGACATTTTCCCACATCAGCTAAATGTCGACCTTGACATTTCTCAAGTATAACCTTACGACTAAGCACCATAAGACTACGAGGGCGGGCCAACAGGGAAGGTGTACACTGGAAAGAGGGACCACCAAAGTTTTTGGGAACCTCATCAACGCTTGCTGACAATGTTGCCATTTCCATCAGCATCATTGTAATTCCATTCAAGGAATCAAGAGGAGTGTAAAAACAACACTGTCATTCCACAGTCTGTCTACATGTACACAATCATCAACCCTTGCTCCGGCTTGAAGCAACAGCAGCACCATACGCTGTAAGTTGGGAAACATCTTTTCAGAGGTCTTACCATAACCATAGACATGTGATCCTTTTGCTTGGATAAGTTGCAAGAGAAAGGACAATGGTGGTGTACAATCCATACTTAGTGTGTTCACATGAGCTCCTGATTTCACCAGAAGCTCAAGGATAGATAAAACATTTTCACACTGAGAGTAATACCTTGAAATACCACATACTGCAGCATCTATAATGGATATGTTGTCTATCTTACCTTCTGTAAGTTCATATCTGAAGTAGAATCGATGTGCACTTCTAACCCATTTAGTCAAGACCTTCAATGAAGCTGTCACTCTCACATTTGCACCATGTTGCAGCAACCACTGAGTAAGGTCAAATCTGCCCAAGGTGCAAGTCAACATTAAAGCAGTAAAAGGGGTTTCTTCACATGTCATGTCAACATCAAAGTTGCAGTTGTACAGAAAATCAAAAACCCTCATTTCCTGTGATTTCATGAGACAGGCATAATGGTAAGGATTAGCCAAGTTGACCGAAAAGTCACCATTTAAATACTTGTCCAAAACAGTAATGTCTGTCACATGATTTAAGATCAGTTCATCCAACAAGGAGTGGCCAAGGCCATTGCAAGCAGATTTACAAAACTTGTCATTAACAATTGTTTCAATCATATCAGAGGAAGTCTGACAAGCAGACTGGAGAGTCCAATTGGTGCTCCTCAAAAGTAAGTGGGCAACAGTATCTCCTTCTATAGAAAATTTCCGATAATAATTGTAGAACTTATGGACCAATTTCACACGATTCAACACTTGATTTACATCAGCTCCTTTCTCAACCAACATCTGCACAGCTTCAGGAATATCCATCGCTGCTGCTAAAAACAACGGAAAATGACCAACTTTGTTTGGAATATTCACAAAGTTTCCATCTTCAAGCAGCATTTTCAAGAGGTCAATCCTTTTAAACTTAATGGCCAAATTAACATCAGAATCCCCTTCAACATTTAAATTACCTCGCTGAGCTCCTGCACACATTAAGTGTCTTAGGATTTTCTTTGTGTCGTACATTATAGCAATGGCCACCACTGAAGCACTTTCTTCAAGGAAATAGTCCTTGTCTAATTCAAGGATCATCTCCAAGAGGAACAGGAAAACAGATTCTGCTTTTGCACGTATAGATGTTTTCAACCATTCCAGCATTTTCTCCTTACTTGGCATGTAGTTCTGTACAACACTTTTGGCATCACGGACACAGTCGTCCTCAGCAGCAGACAGAATCATGTGATCATTATCTGGTAAAAAACTTGCCTTCATCAAAGAAACTTTCCTGCCAGTTGTCTTCTTCCTCAGAGTCCTCTCTCAAAGTGTCGGTCATCTTCAGTTCTTGTTGTCACAAAGAGATATTTCTTGGTAATAATGAGCGAACTTCTTGATGCCTTTTTCCCTTCACCAAGTGAAAGAGCTTCCAAACCCTACTCAGGGGACCCAACAATTACAAAAGTGGGTGTACATTTACTTGTGTCCCACTGTTGCACAATCTGACCAAGGGAAGTAACTCTACAGTCATTACACTTGTAAACACTCTGCCAGTACAGAGGCCCTGTTTGGGTGATTAACACATCAGAGATATAAAAATTGATGACTGATCTCACCTCATGATTTCATGTTATTCTCCAGTGGGGTCACATGTGTATCTTTGCAGAGTTATGTCCCTTGGGCATATCAGAAGCCTATGCTTTGGGCACTGAATGCCAGTTTAGCCTGATTATGTGATTACCAGTGTTTGCGGGTCAAACCAACTTCTGAAACCTGCATCACTGTGGGCTTTCCTCCCAAGTAAGGCTGTCATGCTGGGATACAACTGGAATTAAAACTCTTCGTTGTGGCATTACACCCAGACTACCCACCCCATTCTATAGGTAGGTCACACGTGTTCTGGGGGTCAAAATGTTTTCAGGGATTCAATAGGCCATGTTTAAATGTTTATATGTGCACTTTGAACTGAAACACTGCAACAAGAACACTTTGGATACAAAATGGATATTTGACAGCAATGGATCAAAGAATTAGATGATCAGGGACATTTGGTCCTTGTGTTGACATACATGGGACATTTATCAAACACAACAGATCTTAGAAAATGGACAGTGTTTTCAATGTTGAAATGTCAAACCATTTATCTGAAACAACATTCATATCAAACAAAATACAAACAACAATTATGAAAACAGTTTCTATTTATTTCAAATTTCAGTGTAAACAAAAAATCATGCTTATTTAACAGGATTATCACACTACATGCAGGGGTGGTGTAATCAAAATCCACTTAATGTGTATGTCATCATCAGAATGTATAAATACACAGAATGACTGAACGTCTTCTATGTTCCACTCAGCAATATTCCATCTTCATCACACCCAGCTCAACATTTCATATATATATACTTGGGGTTTTTTTCATAAAGAAAACAAATTAATTCTCCAGCTTCTTACCACTGATGCTCCACTTTTACCACACACCTTGTACAGTATTTATCACACAACTTAAAACTGTATTTACCCCACACTTTGTATTGTAATTTATATTGACCACGCACATTACACAATATTTATCACACACCTTGTACAGTTTTTATCACACACCTTATACAATATTTATCACATACCTTGAACAGTATTTATCACAAACCATGTTCAGTATTTATCACACATCTTGTACAGAATTGTACACCATGTCCATTTTTATGATTCAGACTCTGCACTTAAATAACTGTTAATCAATTTCCAGAGCAATGTAACTCCATTAAATATTTCAAGCATACATAGTTTTGAAGCTTCACTGGCAACAT